TCCCCCACTCACTCTCTGTCTCTCTCTCTCAAAAATAAACATTATAAAAAAATGAAATCAGTAAATAATGTTGCTTTTGGAGAACTTTTGAAAGTTATGCTGCTGACAAGAACTTTTTACTTGTTTATTTTTTATTAAAAATTTTTTAATGTTTATTTTTGAGAGAGATGAAGCATGAGTGGGGGAGGGGCAGAGAGAGAGGGAGTCACAGAATCCGAAGCAGGCTCCGGGCTCTAAGCTGTCAGCGCAGAGCCTGATGTGGGGCTTGAACTCATGAGCCATGAGATCATGACCTGAGCTGAAGTTGGATGCTTAACTGACTGAGCCACCCAGGTACCCCCAAAGAAGAACTTTTAATCTCTCAAATTGGCAGTAATTAAAACAAATTTTTAAAATAACAATTGTTGCTAAGAATGTAGTGAAAATGCCAGTCTTATTCCTCAAGAATTTACAGAATGGAGGCACCTGAGAGGCTTAGTTGGTTGGGCATCCGACTCTTGATTTCGACTCAGGTCATGATCCCAGGGTTGTGGGACTGAGCCCTGTGCTGGGCTCTGTGCTGAGCGTAGAGCCTGCTTAAGATTCTCTCTCTCTCTCTCTCTCTCTCTCTCTCTCTCTCTCTCTGCCTGTGCCCCTCTCCCCTGCTTGTGCTCTCTCACTCTCTCTTAAATAAAAAAAATAAAATTAAGTTAAAAAAAAAAGAATTTACCGAGTGTAAAAAGACTGTTGAATATCTTTCTGGTGGGCCCTATGGCTTTGTGTTAGTTTGAAAATTTTTCATTCTCTTTGACCCAGTAGTTGTATATCTGAGAATTTTTCTGGGGAAAAGGGAGATGAGGGTAAAGTTTTATATAGAAAACTGCTTTTTATACCATTATTTATAATAACAGGAAAGTAGAAAATATGTTTAACATCAAAGGCTCATTGTAAAATATCAAGTAATAAAAGATAAAGCTAGGTTTTAGTAAGATCCCAATTCTGTAGAAAAAAATACACGTGTCTAAAATAATCTGAGATAAAATAGTCTAAAATATTAACAGTAATTATTTCCACCTGTGGGAATGGGTACTTTCTCTATATTTTTATGTATTTAAAAATTTTTCTGCAGTTACCATTTTTTATTTTTATAATTAGTAAAAATTAGTATGATAAAATATTTCTTGAGCCTAATGTACATTAGCTATCACTCTCAGAACTGAATAAACAGTGTATGGACACCTTGTTAAATATGATTAGATATATAACATGCATTTATTTCTCTTTGAAAAGACAGGGAGATATGAGCTTAAAACAGTTGTCAATATTAACAAATTTATTAAAATAAACATTTAACTCAGTATGAACTAAGTGCCAGGCATTCAATATACTCTGTGCTTGGGGATACAAAGATGGTCCTGAAAGAAAGAAAAAGCTTGCTCTCCTTTCTTCTAGAAAGTTTTCCATAGTGTTCTCTGCTACAGTGAGTTAGGTTCCCTCCTGTCCTCGTACTTACCACGCTATACTCATTATCAGTTTATTTGCCTGTTTCTCCTATTAATTATGAGTGTCTTGAGGATAGGGACCATGTCTTTTTCATATGTGTATCTCCAGGACTTAACAATTTGGTGAATTAGGTCTGCTTGCGATGTCAGAAGTGGTCATGTTTGAGGTGGATTTTGAAAAAATGAGTGCTTGTGATAAACCACTTTTAATTTAGTTTACCTTTCATGAAATACTTCATTCCCCTATAATGATGGATATATGAGAAGTTACTGTACTGCAGCAGTTGTTTATTTAATTGAGAATGTTTTCATTTTGCCTTTTTCAAATGTGACCTCGTTTTTAGAACACAGTACTAAGCTCTTCAGTTAAATAAATTTAACTTTTATTTATCTGTTAAAGATAAAAAATTTGGCCATGGAGCGATTGAACTCTCTGGGTGAGGGCCAAGGGGAAACTTGAGTTCACTGGGAGAGGGTGAGAGATGATAGTAGATAATTGTTTAAAAAAATAACAAATTGAATCAGGTATTGAAGGCTCCCTTAAGTTAGGTGTATAAATAATCAGAATGTTACTTTTACTTCAAAGTGAACTGGGACAACATGTAAAATATGCAAGCACCTGAAGATCTTTAAAAAGTAGAGCAAAAAGCAATTTAGATCTAATGTGTACTTTCTATCCCTAAGTTACTCACAGATTATATCTCCAGTGTTGAATTATAAGTTGATCCATTATTTAGAATCATAGGATAATTGTGTAACAACAATGATCTTATAGGTGGGTGGTTTTCAACATAATTTTGCCTCCTCCCCCCAAGACATTTGGCAATGTCTCGAGATGTTTTTGGTTGTAATGACTTGGTGGTGATGGTGGTGATAGTGATTTGAGACTAAGGATGCTGGTAAACTAAATATCCTACAGTACACAGGACAGGCCTTCCCTGCCCCCAACACACAACAAAGGATTATCCGGCCCAAAATGTCAATAGTGCTGATGTTGAGAAACCCTGCTTAGACATTTGCAAGTTCTCAGCCCACTCAAAAAAAATCTTTATTTTACCTGTAATAGTGTTTATATTTATATATCCCATAACTGAAACTTAGTGCTAACAGTACCATTTCATTTGTTGCTTAAGATTACTTTGTCTCCCTAGAAGAGTTTTTTGTGTGGTTTTTTTTTTTTTTTTTTTTTTTTTTTTTTTTTTAGAGCTACTATTAAGATTGCTTTCCTTACTGGGAACAGGGATAGTTCTCCCATAGTATAGTAGAGGCTCTACTAGATTCCAATATCTCTGTTTATTTTTCTTAGCTTTTCATATATGTCACTCTTTTGAGAATCTATAGGACAGGGATTGCTTGTTATTTCAGTATTATGTTTAGAAGGTAAATACTTTTATACCCTGTAAAACTTGAGAACATTTAATATATCGATTTATTCAACAAATATTCATTTAGAAATAAGGATTAATATAATGAGTATTAGGATTTTTTGGTACCATGTAGCTAATTCACTTTGATTTTATTAATAGGGTCAGGAGCAGGTCTGGGGAAAATAATCCAAAGATTTCCACAGAAGGACTGGGATGATACTCCTTTTCCACAGGGAATTGAATTGGTAAGTTGGTGTTGCTTTATTGTACTTTTATAATGATACTTTTCTTTTTATGTTACATTTATGGTTATATTTATGTTATAGTTACTGTTAAATAATTTGGTGATTTAACTGTAACATATTACTAGAAATAATCCCCTTGCCTTCAAGTCCAGTAACTTTTGAATATATTGATTCTGAAATACCTGTTTTGCTATTCTTTTCCCATGTAAGCTTCTCTCTAATATTAAAGATGAAATTAATGATCTTTATGTACATGGAAGCTGAAAAATTCCTCTGCTTCTTTAGTCAAAATTTTAGCCTAGTAGCTTCAGTGAGTGTGGCACTAAACAAATACTTATTATATTTTTGTCTGAAAAATTTCAGGTTATTGTTTTGGTGAAAACTAAACAAAAAACAGAACTCCCCACACCCCCACCCCAAAGATTGGTTTAATGATCACCAGTCATGTTTAGTTTGCTCTTGAAATCACAAATCTGAATTCTTTTTAGCTACACAGTCTGCAGATTGCTTTATAGTAGTGCAATTCAACATCTTTATTTTTGTCAGCTATTTTAAAGGGATTTAATAATTGAGCATAATTTTGATGGCCAGGACATTCTATCTGATGATGTATCTATGGTGGTAAATGAGGGACTAGAAAGATGACCACTAAAGTATTTGGCAATATGGCTATAAAGTTTTGTTGTCAGACATAGTGGAGTGTGGGTGTATGTGTAGGTGTGTGTATGTATATATCTATATTGTGTGATTGAATACATATACATACACACATATGAGAAGTGTTCTCTTTTTAAAATGTTTTATTTATTTATTTTTATTTATTTTTGAGAGAGAGAGAGAGAGAGAGAGATAGAGATAGAGAGAGAGAGAGAGAACATGAGCAGGGGAGGAGCAGAAAGCAAGGGAGACACAGAATCTGAAGCAGGCTCCGGGCGCTGAACTGTCAGCACAGAGCCCAACACAGGGCTCGAACCCACGTGTCATCAGATCATGTCCTGAGCCAAAGTTGGATGCTTAACTGACTGAGCCACCCAGGTGCCCCAAGAAGTATTCTTCTTTAAAGTAGTTCTTGTTGAGAGAACATTTGGTATGATTTGATAGTGAAGAGTGAAGGCTCTGGAGGAGACTACCTAGGTTGAAATCCCCAGGTGTATGGTGTGACTTTAGACGAGTTATTTCATTTCTTTGAGCAGCAGCATCTTCATCTATAAAATGAGGATAATGCAATACTAATCTCCTAGGGTGTTGTAAAGATAAAATGGGAAAAATATACAAAATGCTGAGAACAATGGCTTCCATAAAGTAAGTGGAAGTAGCTTACTTAGTAAATGAAGTAGCTTATTGATAATGACGGTGATGATTGTTGTTGTCGTCATTGTTAACGTTTGTTTGCCATCTTACAGCATCTCCTCTTCCTCCCCTAACTCCCTCAGCAGAATTGTTCATTCTCTTACTATCATGGGTCAGAAATATCCATTAGGAATAAAACTGATGTTGAAAATTGTGCATTTTCTCATTCTAGCTAATGGCTGTCCATTTCTGTTTATAGAGGATAAAAGATACATTGCTGAGTGTTTAATTTTGATTTTTACAGCTATACAAAGAGGGCTGCAGGTTCTGTAGACACACAGAAAGGTCAAGTCTTGAAGTTTTGTATTGAAAAAATGGGTAAAGAATGTGAGGATCTAAGGAAAAGTAACTTTTGGAGAGGCCCTTGTATTCCTTTCTCTTCTCCTCCACATGCCTACAAATACTTGTAACTGGCCTTGTGGTGTGAATAGCCAGGTATTTGCACTATTAAAACCTTTAAGCTCTGCTTCAGCATTCCTTTTAGTGGTGACTGAAACTGGAAAATTTTAGTGCTAGGGACCATCGAGAACTCTTATGTGAGTTCTTACCATTCCTCACATCAAAGTGTGGACGGATATAAACTATATCAGTTATATCAGTTTGACAGTGTGAACAGTAAACCACCATCATAAGTTTCAAGAACAACAGACATTATGGGAGCTATTAGCTATGACTGGGACGGGATTGTTTTTGTGTTCTGAAAGCCAGGGAAATGGATACTGTGATGTTTCTGATGTTTTTCTAGTAGTGAGGGAGAGACACATACTGAGTTCATTACCTAGTAAATGGTATTTTTCCTTTGTGTGACAGACACTCCCATGTTCAAGTGCTACCAGTGTATCTCTAATAATAAGTAGAATCATGTGCTGCTGACTGGTGAAGTAGAGGTGCTAAGAGTTAGATCTTTTCCTTACCTAACAGTTTCCCAGATGACATCTTGGCTGATTCTTAGCAAAGCATTTCAAGATCTTTTTTTGATGGGTTAATAGTTAAAGAATATTTGATCTGTTGAATTACACTGGAAATTTTTTTTCCTTTTTAATTTTTTCATCATTGATAGCAATTCCAATACTCTAATGTCTATTGTGCTTTGTCAGGTACAAAATAAATTTGTTTACCTAACATCTATTAAAGCCCATTTTAAAAACAGAATTGTTAACTTAAATTTTTCTTGTCCTTTTATTATTTATTGCTTTTTGCTATGCTTGATGTATTAGAGACATTCTGCATCTAAATAGCAATAACTTGAATAACTGAAATACTGTGTAATCTAATGTAACTCCTGTAGCATCAAGACCACATTAGGCCTGATAAAATTTTTTCCAATTGAAAATGATCTGGCTCAGTCCCTAAGTGGTTAGTTGATTTCAGGGTGATAGTGATCCTTTTCCAAAAATGTTAGCCCTTCCAAAGTAATGGAACAACTTTTAGCATGTAACATTAATGTTAATATCTACGGTTGTATAGGATTGGTAGACTATGGTTAACTCACATAAATTGGATGATTGATGGTAGTATATCTAATTTAAAGATAAGTAAACTGAGGATTAGGAAGTTTAAACAGTTTCCCTAGGCTCTAACAGCTAAAATGCAGCAGAGCTAGGCTTTAAGTCCATTACCACATGAAATACTGACTCAGTCTCGGCCAAAATCTGAGAATATTCTGAGTTAGACTGTGGTTAGCATTTGTATTTTAGTGTAAATGCAGGATCTGAAAACAGGGTTCTATAATTTTGAAGAACTGAGGTTCAGAAATGTTAAAAGAATGCTGTGTTGGATAGAAACCAACTTTACATATTTATTTTGCTGGAGGACAAGTCTGGGTTCAGAGCATAACATTATACTGAAATTATTTTCTATTGCTATCTCTCCTCTCCAGACAGCATATATTTGTTGTATATAAATCTAAATGACAAATTATTGTGTTTACCTGAAGACTAAACTTTATGACTGTGGGAAAGGATTTTAGATATCCTTGCACTAATAAGTCAAAACCTAAATTTAATTTAGAGGATACTGAATTTGTTCTTTCTGTTTTTATGTAAAGAGTTTGCCCTTTTTTCCCCTTTTCTTCTATTGAGAAATGCTGGACTCTAATTTGAATGGATTTTAAAAATAAAAATATGAAAATAAGCTAAACCAAGCATAATGACTGCTTTTCCAGTTCTGGGATATTTTTATCTTTTTCTTGTGCTTTTTAGGCATACATGGAAACCACAGACAGTCATATAAATAAAATTTCAGTTAATTTTAGTAACAGTATTTCAAAGAAAATTTAAGAATTGTTTTGCAGAGGCATTCTATGGCCAACGATCTATTTCTGATTATGGGAACAAATGTTTTTATTGGCTAGGGTTTGGACATCAGCAAAATAGTATTGTTTTGGCACTACATCTTTTTAAAGATGCCCTGTCTCAGAAGTGAATCCTTTTGTACTATTATTCACAAAATTTGTCATATTCTTTACTAGGGAATGCCTGCACCAAGGCATTTGTAGAGCTATCTAATTAAAAAAAATTTTTTTAATGTTTATTTATTTTTGAGAGTGAGACAGAGAGACAAAGCCCGAGCTGGGAAGAGGCAGAGAGAGAGGGAGACACAGAATCTGAAGCAGGCTCCAGGCTCTGAGCTGTCAGCACAGAGCCTGACATGGGGCTCAAACCCATGAACTGTGAGATCATGACCCAAGCCGAAGTTGGATGCTTAACCAACTGAGCCACCCAGGCACCTGAGCTATCTAATTTTTTTAGAAGAATAAAGTACTGTGATAGAAAAATGTGGCTTGAGTAAAAGAGTAATAGATATTTAGTTAGAATTTTAAGTTTCATATTGGTAAAAAAAATTAGTTCAGTTATTAAAATATAGACTAGTGATTTGACTACCTTCAATATGAATCTAGTTTTCTGTAATTGTAAGTATAGATTGGAGAGAAGAGGATTGTTGTGTATGCAACAATCTGCAGTTTTAACATAGGAGAATTAACCTTAGTATAGGATGCTATTTGTGGTCAGAGAAGTAGGTATAAGTACCATGTAATGCTTTAATTCTTTAAGCTGTTTAGAATGCACTGAACACAACATACAGGATAGTAGTTGTCCATTTGACCTAGATATAAATACTGTGTAGTCAGGGAACTGAGTGTAGAAAGGATAGAAGAGAATATTCTCCCTCCTTTGTAGGGGAGTATGCATGAAAGGAAAATGAGAAAGGTAGTGTACATATTGGATGATGGAATCAGGGCTCACAAATATTTTATTTTATTTAGTCCTTTTTAAGTAATCTCTGCACCCAACATGGGGTTTGAACTGATGACCCTGAGATCAAGAGTCGCATGCTCCACCGACTGAGCTAGACAGGTACTCCAGGGTTCATGAAGATTTTAAAGCGCTGGAATTATAGGCTATTAGCTAAGAAGATGAAATCTGGGACAATAGGAAAAAATGTAGGTTTCTGCATGTAAGTATAAAAAGCCAGCTGTATAATTATTTAGAATAAAGAAGGGCAGGATGATTGATTTTCCAGCCAGAGAGATTTGAGAAATACACAAAGGCAGCTAAAAAAAAAAAAAA